CAATGTACAGGTAACAACCTGGGTTTTTGGCTAGCGTATCAGAAGTGCTGGGGGCAGTCCTACAGGACCCAACCAACTCTTTAACCTGTGGAATCTGATCCCATTTCTGGGTAGCTTGTGTCAGGCTTGAGTTGAACTGCAGGACACCCACCAAGTGTCCTGAGAATTGTTTGTTGGTTTGGGGAACCCCCCACACACACTCCCCCCCCACACACTGGAATTCTACCAGAACTTATTTACCTTTTAGATGCCTCTCCTCCAAATACTGTCACAATAGGGATTCAGGCTTTTAGTTTGAATTTGGGGGAGAAACAAACATCCAGTCCCTAGTACCAGGCAAGGAACCCTGGCTCAGATGATTCTCTTCTGCAAGGTCATTAACCAGCCCTTCAGCTCCTCTCCATGGGGGTCTGATGCCTTCTCTGTGTATTTACAGCTCCAGATATTTGACCACTGCTAGCACTTACTCTTGATTCGTTTATTTATTATACCACACCATGAGTTGGCAACTGTTTTCTTAAAGGGCCAAGAAGTGCAGTACCAGTGACCTGTCACAACCACTCAGTTCAGCCAATGTGTAAATGAACGGACATGTTTGTGTTCCAGTAAAACTTTTTATGGACACTAAAATTTGTTTTATATAATTCTCACATGTCACAAAATATTTTTCTTTTAAAGTTCTTCAACCACCCTGACTGGTGTAGCTCAGTGGATTGAGCACAGGCCTTCGAATCAAAGGGTTGCCGGTTCAATTCCCAGTCAGAGCAGGTGCCTGGGTTGCAGGCCAGGTCCCAGCTTGGGGTGTGTGAGAGGCAACCACACATTGTTGTTTCTCTCCCTCCCTTCCCCTCTCTCAAAAAAAATAAATAAAATCTTTAAGAAAATTTTTCAACCACTTAAAATCACAAAACCCATTCTTAGTGGGCTGTACAAAACCAATAACGGGCCAGATGCGTCACAGACAATAATCTGTTGGCCTCTGCACAAAATCCCAAGCAGTGTGGGGTGGGAACTGCCTGTTTGTCTTCTTCCCCTACTACACGGCACCAGTGTTGGCTGGATTGGAATACAATAAATATTGGCGAAGTTAATATTCTAGCATGTAACTGCTTTATATCCGTATGCACTGTCTCAATATTCTTCCAAAATTTGAATTGGACAGCAAATGGATTCCTCAGTAGGAGAATTTAGGCCAACCCCAGATTTGTGGGATTAGTCTAGCACAGTTCTGTGGTGCCTTCCCTTGTGACCTTGGTGTCCCCCAAATGAAGGCCACATGTTGCGTGTATTGTAGGTGTTCTTAACTTACTCCTACACTTAGAGACTGCAGAGTAATGGGAACTTACTTGTTTTCTACTGAGTTCAGTGTGGACCATTCCCAAAACAATGATAAATGTTTCAGCAGAGAATGTTGGATACGTACTAGAACAAAAAGGATAATTTCTTTCCAACACTATCTCTATTTCATGCCCTTCAGATTTACATGTTCAACAGCATTAACTGGTGTGAAAATCACAGAAATTTTATTTGTGAAGTGTGTCTTCCTTAAAGAGATTATCACACCACTTAAGATCAAAGGTAAATGGAAAGTTTTTTTGTTTTTTTTTGAATGGCCTCTTTAAATTATGGAGGCAGCAGACTGACACTCCAGCAGGCTGTTTAAGAAGCAAGATGTTAATCACAACTTTAATACAACCACACTTTTGATAACAAGGCAAGGTGATTATTAGTCATGCTTGACCACCTATAAAATGCTGACCTGACTAATATGTATATTGACTGAATATAAAAAAGTTTTTGGCACCTTGCCCAAGGTCATGGATAAATCTGCAATCTCATCCAGGTATGTTCATTGTTATGCAAAATATGCCAAACACAGTTTTACTTAGAGACATTTCAATAGCCCATATAAATGGAAATCAGAAGATGAAATATCAAATTCTGTGAATTTATTTTTAGAGATTCTTTTTCAACACATGGATTATGATGTCTGATAAATTTAGCTGAGACTTTTTAATGTAACATTAGAGTCTACCTAGGCTTACATTTTTCAAAAAAATTTGCATCATTTACATAACACCATATATGTAAAATCACATAATCAGCAAATATATCCAGTGCTTATCAAATGAACAGCTCATTTTTTGAGGTGGGGGATGTTATAAGAAACAAGCAGACATTTCTATGAGGGAATGTACAGACTTATCTGAGGAAGTGCAATATAGGCATATCAGAGGTAATGAATCGTATCAGTGACCTGTGCTAAGTGCCAGTGAGTGACGTAGGTAGGAAAACCTCTAGTAGTTTTCAGGACATAAAGGTTGTTCCATAGGTGGGACCAGGGATGGAGCCTGGCCTTGAAGTGTGAACTCAGACTTAAAATGCTACAGATAACTTGGTCACTGTCCTGACCCCATCTCCCAAACACAACTGCCCAACCTTTACTCTTATGCTCATTGCTGCTATATTCACCAAGACCCTAATTTGACTCCTGAATTGTTGTGGCCCCTGCATGGTGCTCATTTGAAACTATGCCCACATCTATTAAGAGAGCAATTACCTCATACAGCTTTCATCATACTCTGCCCTATGATTTTTTACATACTTATTTGGCAGCACCAGTGTTGGTCTGTATTCTGCTTGACTCGGGTGTGTCTGAATCCAGGTTATGTCCCTCCTAGCTTGGTCTATCTCAGCTCTCGCTGTGATCATATCTACTGGTTTAAGAGCCTGTAATAGAAACTTTTATATACATAATGCTGCTAGGAGTGTACATTGTGAAGTCTTTCTGCAGGGCAAAACCTTAAAATGTATGTATGCTTTACTTAGACGTTCTGTTTCTAATTGTCCCTTTGAGGTGCATTTAAATATATGTATATATCCACAACTACTTTTATTGCCACTATTTTTAAAATAACAATATAGGTTGGCATATTTGTCTTTTGGAGGGAAACATTTCTAAATTGGAAATACCTAGAAACCATTAAGAATGATGATGAATACAGAACATTTTGATTATTCTTATAAGTATTTAAAATTATTTTATATACTCGTGGTATAGCATCTGAAAATTTGGTTCTTTGGCCCCGGCTGGTGTGGCTCAGTGGATTGTGTGCTGACCTGTGAATCAAAGGGTCACTGGTTCAATTCCCAGTCAGGGAATTTGCCTGAGTTGCAGGCCAGGTGCTCAGTGCAGGGCACACAAGAGGCCACAACAAATTGATGTTTCTCTCCCTTTCTTTCTCCCTCCCATTCGCTCTCTCTAAAAATAGATAAATAAAATCTTTAAAAATTTTGGTTCTTTGTTTTGTCTTTTAAAGATATATAACAGTGTTTTGTTGTTGTCAAATAATCCTTGCTTCAATCTGACTGGCTTCCAGGGCCCTCTGTCAGCCTACTTCTAAATCATGTAGCAACCCTGCAGACACCTCAGCCATTTCCGTTTGTTCCAGCCCTGACTCCCTCCCAGCTGCGCTCTGGTTTGTGCGCTCATCCCCCTCAGTTACCTTCTGTCCTTCTGTCAGTCCCATCGGTTTGTAATGTTCTACTTCTTACGAATTTTCTCTGGATTTTTGCAGTCCTGCGGGGCTGTATCATGCAGTTTGTCCTAGTAAGCAGGTGTTCTGGAAAGGAGCCTGGATTTAGCAGAGCAGCTAGTCTGTGGCCGGAGAATACCTGTGAGCTTTGTTTTTGATGCAGGTTCATTTTTAAAGGGTATTGAAATGGAGCCATGCACACACTAGTCCTTGATGCCTTGTTCTTTTCCTTCTGAAGTGTGTAGCTTTTTTCTCCAATAGAGAGCTGGCCGAGAGGGAAGGCGTGTTCTAGTTTCTAGGTTCAAACAATTTGTAAGGAAAAATTAGGTGAAATTCTAAGAGAGGGGTTTGCCCTAGAGTACAATATTTCCTTTATTATCTTCCCCACAATGGTCTGTGTGTTAGGCCCCCCCACAAGGCATACACATATGACCTAACTGCTCTGTGTTCTGTCTCCTACCCCCACATCTTCATCCATTGCATTCACAGGGCTTAGTCTGAGAACTGTGAAGACGAGAAACTGAATTTTCTTATCTTTCTTTGTTTGGCTCATTAAACTACATCTTGGCTCCATTCAGCGGACTTGCTCAAATTCCTGGACACACATACCCCATGGAATGATACATGCATTGGCTTTCTTTAGCTCATGTGGTCACTTAAAACATTTTCTGTTATGAAAATTTGTAAACATACATAAAAGTTAAATAGTTAAATAAGCCTCTTGTATACCCATCACATGGATTCAATTACCAAGATTTCAATATACCTTCTTTTAAAACCTAAGTGTATTTTGACATATTGTTCTGTTACATTGCAACATTTATCTTTTTCTAAAACTTGTCTCTTAGTTGTGCGCTTAATAGATCAAATGGTAAAATTCTGTGGTGTTTAGTTTCAACACTTAATTGTCAAAGGTGGTGGTAAGAGTAAAAATTAAAATTCAACAAACATATCTAATAACTTTATGTGGTAACTTTAGGCTCAGGTTACAATTTGTAAAATGAGCTTTGTGTAGAAATTGTTGTATAATTATTAGTATTTCTATTCAATTAAATTTGCCCCTAAACCTAAACATTGAATTTTCACATCTAATTTCTAAAATTATAATATGGTCATATGAGTCATTAACACTCTTCTGGGTAATTGCTAGAGAGTGTTATTACTTGTAAACCTCTCTCTCTATGCAATTTCCTTCCTATATAGTTGTGGAATTACTAAATACTTTCAATGTGTACTTAGGCATTTTCATTCCTTAAGGACGTAAGAGCAATAGGAAACATCTATTAGGTATAAATACTGGTATGCAAACTTATGAATACTTAAAATAGGACACTATGATATTAGCTTTAAATGAAGGTAAGTCATTTTCATACCTCTCATGAATAACTCATCTCTTTTGCAGGACACTGTTCCCAGTTAAAATTCTGTAATTAATTTTTCCCTGTTTGTTTTCTATTTCTCCAGCTCTTGTAAATGTGAAGCTCTGGGCTATTGATCGACAATGTTTTCAAACAATAATGATGAGGACAGGACTCATAAAGCATACCGAGTATATGGAATTTTTAAAAAGGTAGGATGCTTTTTTTTTTTTCTGACACCATTTAATGCCTTTAATACAATCCTCTTCTCTGAAGCACAGGGAAGGTTGTTTGTTTGTTTGTTTTTTGGCCTATATGTCAGTCTAGTCTTAATAGTCTTCAAATCCATGGAAGTTCAAGACTTTGCACTGGCTTTTTGATATTTCTGGTGACTATTTTCATAATATGTAGTTAAGTCAGAATGTCAGAATGTCATTCAACACTCTCATGCTGGAGTGCCACTCAGAGAAACAAATGAGGATTTGCTAGAACAAAAAGGATATGGGGTCCATCTCTAACTATCTATCAGTTAATATATTTATAGTGCCTCTTCTAAAGCAACCTACCCTGCAAGGCTGACTCATCTCTTGTGTGAGTTTCTGTATTAAAGGTCAGATGACTAACACAGAAAAGTTCCAAGAAGATGCTTATTATCCTTTAATCTTGAGTTTAATTTTCCAAATTAAAGTCATCTTATGTTGCAGTCCTGAAATATCAAAAGCTTTTCTTTTCTTATATTATATATTATCATAATAACTCAATTTAGCATGAATATTAGAATAAAAACAGCTTTTCTTTTCTTAGGAACACACTGAGATTCACTGAAATGTATTTCTTTTTCTCTCAGCCTGTTTTAAAGAAAACACTTTTTGTTATTAAAATAATATTGACAACTATGACTTTTTTATTCAAAAAGTAGTTGTTTTGTATCACCTTTTATTTGTAAACAGAATCATTAAGTGAGCTAAAGGGAAGTGTACCACCAACTAAGATTTCATTTGAGAGTTAAAATATTAAAGTGGCTCTTTCATTTTATATTATTTTTGGTGAAGAAATAGTTTAAGTGGAGCTAAAAAAAATCAACTTCACTTTTTGCTTTAGTGATACATCTTAAGCGATATTTATTAAATTTCCTTCAGGTAGAATTTTGATATTCCTTACTTTGGTATTTCCTGTGATTAACTTATTTTGTTTCTGATTCATTTTTTATGTTTTTTATTTTCACATAAAGCTTATTTTTAATATTCTAAAGAGACAATAAAATCCTAATTTGATGTCAAATAATATGTTAAAGTTTACTCTATCAATAGGATGTTGGACTTTTTCCTCAATGAGACTGGTTGAAACATTTAGGAGAAGGGGCCGTGTAGATTTCTACTTGCAGTTTAGCATAGTGCGCAAGGAAATTAAGTTCTTTAGATACCATATGTGTGTCGCTGTGTGTTGATATATGTGTAAATATGTTGATATGTGTTGACATGTGTGTATATGTTGATTAATACATAGAGATACAGGTGTGTATATGTGTGTGAATGTATATGGAGAGAGATATATACTAATAGTAACTTTTAAGCCTTGAAGTACAAGTATTGATTTCTTCTGATGCAACCCTCCTAGGGAAAGATTCCAATTGGTAATCAATAAAAGGCTTAAGACAGAGCCCATTATTTGTCTTAGGTACCTAAGCGCTGGGAAGTTACAACCTTAGTTTCAGTTTCCATAAGTTTGTTTTCACAAGGAAATGGAAGGATTGTCAATGTTTCCTGGTATAACTCCACTTAAAAAAAAACATTTTTTAGAGGCACGGTTTTAAGAAATGGAGGTTGGAGATGTTTCTCTCGGTTGACCCTAGATATTGTTTTACTTTTATATTATTCTCAGAGCTGCCTAAATCTGTTATTATTCTGACAAGTCAAACCTTAAACTATAAAAGTTGGTTCCCCAGAGTGCGTGAACATTTCTGGTTGGTCAGCTCAGAGCAGGTGAAGTGTAGCTGGTTGAATTAAAAAGAGGTAGGCACTGACTTTCTGTCACCTCCCATCTGGCTGCTGTGGCAAGCATTAAGTCCACATCATTTGTGAATGTGGTACAGGGCTGGGAATCCAGAGAGATGACACAGTGACCATCATTGCCTGGGGCCAACTTTAGTCCTCCCTAAATTATGACTGTGACCAGTTGGTTCTCTCTCTCTGACCCTTCAATGGTTCACAGGTCCTGTTGAATTATGCATAGCTTCATTAGTTGGATATTCAAGCCCTCCCACAGCCAGTGCTGGCCTGCTTTATCAGCCTGGTTTCTTCTTTCCTCAGGCAAACCAAATGATTCCAAGTGCTCAGACGGTCCCTGTGCTTTTATATAGCACACTGCTTCTATTGCCTTTTTTCCCCAATGCCAATGTTCAAAGTCTCTCTTTGTTTTAGAGCCAAGTATAAAAGCTGTCTCTTCCACAGACAGTTACTCCATCCTGCCATGACGTAACCGCCACCTCCTCTGGAGCTTCATCTCTACCACGTGTCTTATTTTCTACTTTGTTTTATTATCGTCTGACTACTAAGCTTATTTCTACTTCTAGATGATACACTTTTCACAACTAGAGCTTTTTCTTAAGTACCTTGGTGTTCTTTGGCACAAAACTTCTTGCTTTGTAAATAGGAAGTTTGTAGGACAGGAAGTGCAGGATTGGTACATAATTTTCAGTGCCCCATGCAAGCTGAAAATGTAGGGCTCCTTTTTCAAAAAAATGTTAAAAATTTCCAGTCAGTGACAGCATGGGATTAAAGTGAGTGTGGGGCTTTTCCAAGCTTGGGCTCTATGCCATTGCACAAGTTTGCACTGATCAAGCTGAGACAGTAAATAATATTCATCCCTCCCTCACACTCCCAGGTTAACTATAATGCTATCATTTATTTTGCAAGGTTGTTAAGAGATGGCATAATATCTCCAAAAGAAATGATAGATATTGTCAAAAACTAAAATGACCAAATTTAATGGAATTTTCTCCCATAACTTCAGAATTATATTGATTCCTTATTTGTTATTTTTTTAAAGATTTATTTGTTTATTTTTAGAGGGGAAGGGAGGGAGATAGACAGAGAGAGAGAAACATCAATGTGTGGTTGCTGGGGGTTATGGCCTGCAACCCAGGCATGTACCCTGGCTGGGAATTGAACCTGGGACACTTTGGTTCCCAGTCTGTGCTCAATCCACTGAGCTACTCCAGCCAGGGCTTATTTGTTATTTTTTAAAAAATTTGTTTACCACTCTTTTACCTCATGTGAAATTAAAAAAATTTTATATAGTCAAGTCAATCAACTTTTTCCCTTTATGGCTTCATGTTTAGAAAGCCTCACTTATCTTCACATTTTATAAAAATATAGACTTATTATTTTAAAGTTTTCTGTAGCTTTATGTGTGAATGGGGATATGTGTTTTTCCCTTATGTGCTTTCTAAATACAATTTTCATTAGCATTTTTCTACTAGAGACATCATATGCTTTATATTTTGTTAAAGAGTTGAACCAATTGTGTGACACTATCAAAAAAATAAAAACCCTAGCAAATGATATTACAAATCATCAGAATTCATTGCAGTAGGGGGCCTCTGTTATCCATGGGAATGCCTTCTTGATTGAGGAATTTCAGGGTCAAGCTAAAAGAGGAATGATCCTATATGACTGCTCACCTGCCCACCCCACTCTTCTTTTATATTTTTCTAAATAAGCAGTAAGTGTTGAGGGTGAGGAAAGGGGAACACCAGGCATATTAATGCATTGCCAAAATGCAAGGATTTTTCTTGATTGTCAAAGTAGTTTTTTATTTTCGTTTATTTTCGTTTATTTCTGGTTGTTTAATCCTATTTAGTCATTTGTCTTTGTGCCTATATTTCACACTTTCTGATGTAAACACAGATGTTCCTATGCAAGCATGGCAAAAAAAAAATATTCAAGGGGCATTGCTGCTAAGTAAGCCATGGTCGCTACAGGTCCAGTAGCAATTTTGCTAGTTGCTAGCATTTTCCCTCTTCTTTGACTACTGAAAAATGCTTTTGCTTTTAAGATGGATTCTGAAAACTGAGCCAAGTAACTGCTAGAGTTAATTTGTGTTGCTTCTCTTCTGAGCACATTCTCTGTGCTGCTGTTGGCACTGGCATGCAGGCCCATAAGAGCATTGGAATGCAGCTGTGTGACCGCTGGATGTGCTCAGGGGAGCGGGGTTTTCTTCTGGCCTCAGCCTTTGATAATGGCAACACAAGTAATGATGATGATGAACTCCTGTTTGCATCACTTGCCTTGCTGACAAACTGGAGACACAGCGAGGATTCTTTGGAGTTTAAGCTACTCAAGCGATCCTGTTGACTCTCAGAAAATCTTTTCTTTTTCCACTGGGGAATCTTTTGGTAAGTCAGCTATGCTGATGTATCTTCCTACATGAAACCTCTCCATGACTTCTTATTGCTCCTAAGAATAAAGCCAAGAGCTATAGTATTGTCTTCCAAGCCCTTCCTCCCCTGGTTACTGCTGATCTCCCCAGATTCATCTTGTTCTCTATCTTCTCCTTCCTCCTTCTCTCCTTCCTCCTTCCAGTCACACGGGGCCTTTCTTTTTCTTATACACTCCATGCTCCTTCCCAGGGGAGATCATTCCAGGAGGTTTCTCTCCCTTTGAATGGATGTATTTCACAAGTATGCCTGCTGCGGGGCAGGGGGTCAGAATTGAATATCTCTCAAAACAATTTTAAATTTCTGATTTCTATTTCTTGAGTTGAAAGAGGCATTGATGCATTATCCACCATGTTTTTCACTGTAGTATCCATAGGTAGAATTTCCAAGTTTGGAGGTTTTCAAGGTCTTTGCATGGTTCATAGCTGACTCTCCAACCGTTAAAGAACTTGGAGGTATTTTTCAGTTTTAAAACTACCCTTTATGTGGTTTTATCTCCTTCAGGCAGAAGGGTACATCTAATCCAGGAATTCTTGGCCACTGGAAGCTAACTTATAACAAAGGCCATAAAGCTGATGGCCCCTGTGAGGGTCTCAGCAGCATCCACATGCAAGAAGTCAGGATGAGGAGTGGGGCTTTGGTAAATCATAGGGCTGCTACAATGATTCCTCCTTCCACCATAGTTCCCTTGTTGGAAGCCCTGCTACATGTTGGTGCTGTGTAAACTTTCCTCATTCCTTATTTTCATCTCTAGAGAGTGAGCTCCAAATTTAA